TTTTTTTGTAACTGTATTCATATGATTAAGACTACGAATATTTTACAGTATTCGTGGTCATACAAAAAAATCGTAAATTATTCGACTACATTGGAAAAACGCGAAGGCCATATAGCGCCAAGATCGGACGGCTGATGGGGCAAGAAGATCCTCGAGTGGAGACCACGTACTGGCAAGCGCAGTGTGGGACGACCTCCTATGTACGGAAGACCAAGTCAAAATCGCTGGGTCGCGGTGGATACAGATGGCAACGGACCGGTCGCACTGGAGCTCGATTGGTGAGGCCTATATTCATCAGTGGACATCTATAGGCTGATGATGATGACGAAAAAACGCGAACTAAAAATCGTAAAACTAATTTCAATGTATTTACCATTCTCAGAGTAATCTTGGTAATGCCTATTTCTACTGAAAATAAAAAAAAGTTAACAACAAAGTGATCTTAGTTGTATGTTGTACGTATGTTGTTTTTCACTGGTGGTAGGATCTCTTGTGAGTCCGCACGGGTAGGTACCACCGCGCTGCCTATTTCTGTCGTGAAGCAGTAATGCGTTTCGGTTTGAAGGGCGGGGCAGCCGTTGTAACTATACTGACACCTTAGAACTTATATCTCAAGGTCTGTGGCGCATTTACGTTGTAGATGTCTATGGGCTCCAGTAAACACTTAACACCAGGTAGATTGTGAGATCGTCCACGCATCTAAGCAATAAAAAAACATTTAAAAAAAAAAGTGCCAGAAACAATTTCTTTTCCGGGTCCGAAACATCCTTCAGATAAAACAATCGCGCCGATCGCTAACTATTTAACGCCGATACGAGGAGCCCGTGCCTTCAAATCCGATGTTTACATAAACGTGTATTGAACGTGTCCGGGTGATGTCACCATTTGCGTAACAAGGAATTCCACAGAGAAAAAAAAAAACATCGATTTTACGCAACGGCTTAGTGACAATGTGTGTGTGCGATATGAGAAGTCATCGAAGAAGATAAGTGGCCAGAGAAGCCCGCAGACTTCGCGACGTGACCATCTTGGCTTGAGGTTAAAGTCTAGAACCGACTCGGCTATCACAAAAGACATTTCCAGATTCTTTACTGGTGGTAGGACGTCTTGTGTGTCCGTGCGGGTAGGTACCACCGCCCTGCCTATTTCTGCCGTGAAGTAATGCGTTTCGGTTCGAAGGGCGGGGCAACCGTTGTACTGTTAAAAGTGAGACCTTAAAATTCATGTCTCGAGGTGCGCGGCGGCATTTACGTTGTAGATGTCTATGGGCCACAGTAACCACTTAACACCAGGTGGGCTGTAAGCTCGTCCACTCATCTAAACAATAAAAAGAAAAACAGATATCTTCAAATTGAAAACGTCATTTTCAAACGAGGCCTTAATGAGTCCTCGTCCATCAGACAAACTTGCCTGTTAGCCTTCTATGGCAATCTAAAACAACATAAATACACGCGTAGCTATTATGAAATAATTCAAATGGTGTTATTTATTTTTTAATAAATGCACACCGCAGTTGTAAGGGCTTGTAGGATTGTAATTCGGATCAAATGAAAGACGTTTTATTTATCCGGGAATAAGATATGCTCGTGTCTGTAGAATTGTAATTCAAATAGAATAAAAGACGCTTCATTTATCCGTGATTAAGATATGCTCGTGGCTACAGAATCGTAATTCAGATAGAATAAAAGACGCTTCATTTATCCGGGATTAAGATATGCTCGTGGCTACAGAATCGTAATTCAGATAGAATAAACGACGCTTCATTTATCCGGGATTAAGATATGCTCATGTCTGTTAGCGGTAGCCAGCGGCTTTGCTCTGCCCCTGGCATTGCTGAAGTCCATGGGCGACGGTAACCACTCACCATCAGGTGGGCCGTACGCTCGTCTGCCTACAAGGGCAATAAAAAAAAATTGAATTGTAATTCAGATAAAATAAAAGATGTTTCATTTATCCAGGATTTAGATCCAGACGGTATCAACTCGTGCTGAAGAAGTAATAAATAAAAAAATTCATAGTTAAAAACCTAAATTGACGATGGAGAAATTAGAAGCTGCATTAACAATTATTCTTCTTTTTCTTCCACTTATCCCACTAGGTGGGGTCGGCACAGCTAATTTTTCTCTTCCATTCTCTTATCAGCCGTCATCTCAACACTCACTCTTTTCTCTCTCATATCGTCATTCACACACTCCATCCATGTATTCTTCGGTCGACCTCTTCCCCCTCTAACTTGCACTACCATTTCCATACATCTCCTAGTCCCATGCATCTTCTCTCTACGCATCACATGTCCATACCACGCTTCATTAACAATTGCCTTGTAAAATATTGGATAAGGCCAATAAGGACGTATTGTTGTTTTGCAAATGGATAATTTTTTTAGAGCAATCGCTTTTTGCATATCCCAGATCAAGCCCATAGCCATAAGGGCAAGGCAATAGCGACCGTTACCATAGCAACCGTTACCATGGCAACCGTTGTTGGAGAACTTAGCCTGGGATTGACCCAAGTAACTCTTCATCCGGGGAAATGGAACTGATTTAATGATCACTGGATAACAGATATTCCGCACCCGAAAATGCTGTGAAAGAGTAACCTAAATTCATACGAAATTATAAACGTGAAAGTTTGTTTGTTTGTTTGCGAGTTTGTATGTCGAATAATTACTTACTGGTGGTAGGACGTCTTGTGAGTCCACACGGGTAAGTACCACCACCCTGCCTATTTATGCCTTGATTCGGTTTGAAGGGTGGGACAGCCGTTGTACTGTAAAGCTGAGAGCTCAGAACTCATATCTCGAGGTAGGTGGGGGCATTTACGTTGTTGATGACCATGGGCACCGGTGACCACTTAACACCAAATAGGCCGTGAGATCGTCCGTCTATATTAGCAATTAAAAATTGCACAACAAAATATTAATTTATGTGTGAATAATTTGTTTGTGTATGTTATTTTAATACCCAACCTTTTGCTAAAATTCTTAACTAACAAGATAACTGCGGAGCGCGGTTAATTAAATCATAGTTCAAAATAATTCGTCTTGTAATTGCGTCGTTCACACGTTTTCGTGTGTTTTATAATTATGTGCTTTAACGCGTCCAAATAGTCGGAGCGTTTAATGTAAAACTGAACCATTGGATAGTTGTAATAAATTTTTTTTTATTATTGAAAGATTACTGGTGGCCTAAAGCCTTTCCAGTTTCACCAGGACAGATGGGCGAGCAAAGGCTCAGCCAAGAGGGATGGGATTTGCTAACAGCTGCCCGAGCGCCTCCGAAGGAGACCTAACAACTCAAGAGCAATTGCTTCGCGAATGAATCTACTACCGAGTTGTAATTTGCGTATTACCGAGAAGTGTGGGTTGATCCGACCCACTGAGTTTCGCAGAGGATCTTCTCAGTGAGTTGCGATTCCAATCCGGTTGTAGATTCAACGAAACACTGCTCTTGTTAGGGCTAGTGTTAGTAAATTCTCTCAGGTTGAGCCCGTGAGCTCACCTGCCCCCGCGAAGTTGGAATAGCCTCTTAGGCTACCAATAACTAGATAGAGAAAACAAATGTCGATCCCTGCAGTCTGAGTCGATCCGGGAGACTGTGTGACTTATTTCTGCTACTGCTAACTATATGGTTGTGATCTGGTACCCATTTATTTACTAGGCTTGCTTTGGACATTACCGCCTATCTGGTCCAAGAAAAATGCTGATCGTCAAACGCAAAGTCAAACAATACAGTTGTTATACTGACATCATGAAACAGACGATACTGGACCGTCCGATCGTAAGTTGTCACTGTCGCTAATGGGCAGCAACAATGCTAAAAACGCAACCTAACTACGTTTTTGGGATGTTTAGAAAAGTTGGATATTTGCCTACGAATGTAAAAGGGGGTATGATCGGATAAGCAGTCGGCAATGCTAATTAGCATCAGGTGCAAGCTTTTTTTTATTGCTTAGATGGGTGGATGTGCTCACAGCCCACCTGGTGTTAAGTGCTTACAGGAGCCCATAGACATCTACAGCGTAAATGCGCCACCCACCTTGAGATATAAGCTCTAAGGTTTCAAGTATAGTTACAACGGCTGCCCCACCCTTCGAACTGAAACGCATTACTGCTTCACGGCAGAAATAGGCGGGGTGATGGTACCTACCCGTGCGTCACAATAGGTCCTACTACCAGTAAAAAATGATGCAATAAGGCTGCAACTATGCAGCAGCGTCATGGAGCCAGGAGCATAGTGAAGCCTAGACATTCCTCTGAAGATCCTAGCAGACTTTTAGATTGAATCAATCAATCATAAACCTTTTGAATATTATTCATTATCTTTAAACTTGTAAATAGACACGAATTGGACTTGGAAACTTTTCTTAAGCAAGTAAAAACTTTGGTTTGGAGAAATCACTGACTAATAACAATATCAACATTTAAAATATTAACTTTTTTTAATTATAAAGGAAGGATGGTGCCCCGAAGGCTATTCCAGTTTCAGGACAACTGGGTAAGCAAAGCCAGGAAGAGCATATTAACTATTATATTGAAACACATCCCTTATGGAATATGTACGTGTATATATGGAGTTTGCTTAATTTATATAAGAAATTTACATTACTGAAAGGATTATGTAAATTATCTTTTTTTTTTTCAGAGCTACTAATGTATTTTTTATTTGTGATGCGAGACTACGTTTGATATTATTTTTTATTTATTAAAATTCAGTTCTAAATCAAGATAAATTGATGGTTGCAAATCATATTGTAGAAAATATTTACATATTTTGACTGTTCATATCAAATACTTTTAGTTTAGTTAACACAAGTAGACAAAATACTGAAAACTTTCCACAACTTTATTACATAACATTACAAAGGAAAAAAAAAATACGATCACCTACAAAAGACATCAACGCGTGTCTCACTGTACGCGGATAATCCCGCAAAAAAAATTAGTCCAGTAACGCAAAAAAAAAAAATTGTAACGAAAAAAAAAAAAAAAAGAAACTCACATGTCGTTATCCGCAACCACACCACACTGATAATCACAACACACTAAACTGTCCACAAGACGGAATTACACTTCGCTTTGGCAATATTTATGCGGGATTCGATATTCAATGTTCACACAACGCCCGCTAGTGTAACGACGCGACAAGCGCTCGCCAACACATCCACTCGCTTTTATAGTAACGTTTATGAAATTGATGCTGCGACCTTGAAGTTTTCATGCGATGTCTCAGCATTAATCATCGGGGGTTTTCGTTTTGTTTCATTGAAGCCGTTTTATGGGGATGAAGATCCGGCTGCAATTAAATACGTTGATTGTGATTGTTGATTAATTTTATTTACTTATTGCTTAAATGGATTGACGACTCACAGCCCACCTGGTGTTAAGTGGTTACTGGAGACCATAGACATCCATAACGTAAATGCGCCACCCACCTTGAGATATGTTCTAAGGTCTCAAGTATAGTTACAACGGCTGCCCCGCCCTTCAAACCGAAACGCATTACTGCTTCACGGCAGAAATAGGCAGGGTGGTGGTACCTACCCGTGCGGACTCACAAGAGGTCCTACTACCAGATTATTTGACAAATCAAGTAATTTTGATTATTGAGCTCAGGATTGATAATTATAATTCGTTTTGGGACATGAGATTTTCTTTTGTTAGTCCCATCAACAAATAGATGAATAGACAAAAAATCATTATCCTACTTCCTACAATCCTATCCTACAATCACTTTTTTTTTTTTGTTAACCTATTTGCATTTTGTTTTGTCTATAAATAAAATAAAAACGAAAATCTTCGGACACACAACATTATTCGAAATCTTGAGGTGTGATTCATTTGAGGTCGTGACACGAATTTCAACACATATTAGGTCAAAGTCTAGTTCAGTACAATTTTCTTCTCAATTAGATATGCGATTTTCTTTGTTTTTTTTTTTTGTTTTGTTTAATAGCTATTGACAAGATAAGTGATTTCGCTTTAAAAAAAACTATCAACACCTTTCTTCTCAACTTCGCAACAAAACAATGCCACAGAACAGAAAGGGAGAATTAAATTGAATCTTATACTATCAGTGATTATGGTTGGGTTTCAATCAGTCAATCAAGATGCCCAGACGGGCCACAGTCTTTGGACATCGCAACGTGATGGCGCCACCCAATCAGAGAGACATTTAAGTCTGGTAATTCCATTGTACTGTAAATATTTCATCGGAGAAGTTTTCAATGATTTTTTTTGAAACAAGAATTACAGGTGGCCCGGCGGCCTTACCAGTTTCACCAGGACAGGTGGGCGAGCAACGGCTCAGCCAAGAGGGGTAGGGTTTACTGCTAACAGCTGCCCGAGCGCCTCCAAAGAAGATCTAACGGGTCGAGGACAGCTCGTGAATGCATCTACTACCGGGTCAGTAACCCTGATCATTGCGCCTTTGAGATTCCTGGTCCAATTAATGGTCTCAAGTGTATTTGTTGTTATGCTCACACGCCCATGTTTCTAGCGTCAACAGTTCAGCAGACATTCTTAATTTGGGCACGCTTGGGGTCGTTGGACGTACAAAGCCTGTTCCAGTCCTCTAACCTTGATGAAGATACTATCCTACGAACTGATACTCATACTAGTACTGATTTATGATTTCGAAGGCAGACCACCATACTTGGCTGGAAAGTGGTGATAACTGCTCATGGACATCAACAGCTCCTAATCATAGGGCTCTTTTAAACTTTGTTTGTATAAGGACAGGTCATAAGCCCCTGAATGTTAGGCCTAAACTGGTACGTGACTAGAACGGTGTCTGGTAGCTTTTTGGAAATGGATGCAACAGATCAAGAAGCAATTCCTCAGAAAGCCCTCCTTCCTCCTCCGGGCTTCCGAGAGCATGACCAGACGCCACGTAGACACTACACATCACAATCTACAGTTGACTAACGAGATATATACTTAGCATCCCCAGTATGTCTCTTGAAACTGTCAGTAGGCCTATTCGTGTGTCGTAGCAATGAAGCAGTGTGGAGCTGATATCACAAAATAGCCTTAGAGTCTAGCGTTGGATGTACTACCCCTGAGATTCCTGAGATAAGAAGTAATCGCGCACAAAGTGTTGAGAGCGCGTCTGAACAAAACACAGCCGATCGAAAAGGAAAGTAAGTAAGTGCACACGTAAGGCGTTTAAAATTATGAGCGTATGTATGTATGACTCACAAATGTTTTTAACTAAGTAATATTTATTGTTGTCTCGCGGACGTGCGCGATTTACGTAATGAAACATTGTTATTATTATTTTTTTGTACAAAAAACCAAAAGCCGCACCGGCTTCGACGAAACAAAATGAGAAAAATAAATTTTAGGAAAGAAAAAAAACCTTTTTATTTCATCCCTAATAAATGATTAAGTCATTGTATATTATTTTACTGGTGGTAAGACGTCTTGTGAGTCCTTTTTATTTATATTACCTTTATATTCTCCGGAACTGTCTCTACTTTCAGACGTGCCCTGAATACTCACTTCTAATCGACTCTTTTTTCGGTGTTCCATCTCAATAATCGCATTTCTTACTTCGCACTTTTACTGGTGGTAGGACGTCTTTTGTCTGCATGGGTAGATATCACCACCCCGCCTATTTCTGCCGTGAAGTAGTAATACGTTTCGGTTTGAATGGCGGGGCAGCCGTTGTAACCATACTGAGACCTTAAAACTCATATCTCAAAGTGGGTGGTGGCATCTTACATTGTAGATGTCGGATTGTGGGCCGTGAGCTCGTCCACCCCCCTAAGCAATAAAAAAAAGTAAAAAATATCTGCTGCATATTTGTTCTCGTTTTCTTCTTGGACCCATATCTGAGTGTAAGTCTCTTTGTATGCACTCCATTCCCTTCGATCTCTTGCCTTTTGCATCCAGTCCCTACCAGCTATTATGACCGGGCCATTGGTTCACCTCATTGGTTGTCTTCCCACGTTACGACGTCCAGTACGAGTTCTCCACTCCAGTACTATTGTGCTCTGCGACGGCATATGCGGCCAACTTCAGCTTTCGCCGAGCAATCTCTTTGGCTATGTCAGTCAGACCAGATTTTCTACAGATTTCGGTATTGCGTACCCTATTCCATAGAGAAATACATACCCGATCCTGTAGACCGAATGGTAAATAGTCGACGTCGCCCAAAACACGTCATTACGGATCCTCCCGATCCATTAACGGTGCTTTTAAGTACCACAAGCACCGGTCACCGTCCTCGTCGAACCCGTCGTTTGCGACGAAGGGCTCGACGAGCGAATTAACCCACAAACACAGCCCACTGAGTTTCTCGCCGGATCTTCTCAGTGGGTTGCGTTTCCGATCCGGTGGTAGATCTTGCACTGCTCGCTAGGGCCAGTGTTAGCAACACTCCGGCTTAAGCTCCGTGAGCTTTTATGACCAACAGTCAACGCGAAAGCTTATTTCTGAGGTATATCATAACATCACCCTCCTCCCGTCTTGGGTCGTGCTCCTCAGTGCTGAAAGTCGTGACCTGGGTGGTGACGTAAAATCGCCCACCCATATGCAATTAGCTCATTAACAAACAGAGAAGCGATCGTCTCGGCTATGACCTTGAAGTTCGCCTCTTTCCTCCACTCACCTCGAGCAAAACTACAAACTCCATGATTCATTATTCTTCATCATATTTCTAGTTAGCAACCCATTAATATTTCGAACTGTACTTTCGATAGTAATTTTTTTTTTGTGATTTTAAAAATGTATTACCGCTTACGTGACGTGGAGCACGATGGTGAATCAAAAAATAACAACAGCAACCGTTGTTGATGTTGTTAAGGAGAAACATTGGGTAATGTTGCTAAAAGTTTAATGAGTCACTTTACTAATACTACTTACTGTGTTACTTATAATATTTTGAACTCAAGTTTAACAATATTTGGTATGTGTATGTGCATTACTATAATTCTCATGTTGTATTTGTTGTTTTAGTTATGTGTTATTTGTTCTACACACACTTATCACTTTTAATTATTATTCTCATTATCCTCTCGCAGGTCTGCTGGAAGAGATTTCTTAAAGAAATAAGCAGTGCCTTTGTACATAATTTTCCTATTACTCTGTACTATGTCTTTTTTTTCTGTCTGTACATAAATAAATAAATAAATAAAAATAATAGTTATTTGTGCAACAAGAGAGCAAAGTTGTTTTTTGTTTCGAGTGCTGACTTAGAGTTCTGAGCGTAGTGAGGGACTCAACAGCACAATATGCAAAACCCTTTGCTCTCGTGTAGCACACATAGCTTTCCACCTCAGCATTGAGAACAGATATTAAGTAGGTACTTAGGAGACATAGAAATGAACAGGAATAGATCGAGAAGATAGAGAATTGTTTTTTGCATCTCATGCTGTTGAGTCCCTCACTACGCTCAGGATTCTAACTTTTAATTATAGAATCCTTGGCTTGCTCGGTATTAAAAATCAGCACTCGAAACAAAAAACAACTTTCCTCTCGTGTAGCACACATAACTGTTCACCTCAGCAGTGAGAATACATATTATTTAGGAGACATAGAAATGAACAGAAATAGATCGAAATAACTATTTTAAAAAAACCTAATTACTTTATTACAAATATCTTTAAATTTTAGGGTATTACGCGTTTCCGAACGTGTTTTCTTTGAGGTCGAATTCCAAAATCGAATTTAGAATGGGTTTGTTTTATATGCATGTGAATGAGACAGAGCACAAGAAAATCCGAATGTTTCAAATTTATGGCTGAACAATGTCAATTCGTGGCACTGTGAAGATTGAAAAATTAAAAAGCTACTTTGACCCACGCTCGAATCAAAATTGCGTTTTGTTCACTGTTGTCTCGCAGCAAAAGCGGTATGTTTGAGCTGCTGAGGTGAAAATATATTTTTGAGCTTCTTATCCAACGCCCTGACCTTGCACGGGTCATCATCATCATCAGCTGACAGTTGACCGTGGGACATGAAGATCTCCCAAATTGCGCGACTTAATCTGGTTTTCGATTTTCCTCATCCACTTTCCGCCGGTCGCTCTCCATAGGCCGTAACTCCTCTTGGCAGGGTCTCCCCTCAAAAACCAGTCAGCTTCGACGGTCGTCGGCAGATATGTCATGAAATGAGTTCATTACGCAAATTATTATTATTAAAATCA